CTAGCCACAAAGAATAACTAGTGAGCAAAACAGACCAAGGTCCTCTCTTCCCACATAGTGTGAACCCTCTCCTGTGGGGAAATGAACGTGGCAGGTGGAGCTACGGAGGAGAACAAACAGGATAAGGTGGCCAGCGGTGGGAGGGACTGCCCTAGAGGATGGGGTGTCTGCAGTGGCTTTTCTGACAGATGATGGTGGGCAGAGACTGAAGGAAGGAAGGGGTAGACCCTGTGGTATCTAGGCAGAGACCAACTAGTGCAAAAGTCCTTTGCCAGGCGTGGGCCCAGTCTGTTCAAGGGAGAGGAGGCCAGTGTGGCTGGAGCAGAAAGGGGTCAGGTCAGAGAGGTGACAGGGGCCAGCAGGTGTAAACCTCTGTTGGCCACTGTAGGGTTTGAGTAGGAGTGACGTGGCCGGGCATCATGACAGGTCACTCTTCCTGCTGTTGAGAGGACACTGCAGGGCGTAAGGGTGGGCCGGCCAGGGGCTAGTGCTGTGATTCACACAGGAAATGGCTGTGGCTTGGACCAACATGGCAGCAGTGAGAAGTGATTGGGTTCTGGATTTGTTTTGAAGGTTGCTAATTGAGTTTGTTAATGGTTTAGCTCAGGGTTGCAAGAGAATAAAATAAATCAAAGAGGACCATAAGGTTTTGGCCTGGGCAATTGAGAAGATAGAGTCGTCATTTGCAGAAATGGGGATGAGCAGGTTGAGGAAAAGGTGGACATTAGGAATTTCATTTTGCATATCATAAATTTCAACAGAGGAGTTGAGTGTACAAGCTTGGAGTCCAGGAGAGATATCGCCCTGGATTCCTCCACATTTACCTGGTGTTCAAGGCCAAGAGAGTGAATGGGTTGACCTGGTGCTAAAGAAGAGCATCTGAGGACTGTGCCCTGGGGTGTTCTTGTGTTTAGACGTCTGGAGGATGAGAACGAAACAGCAAAGGGAAATGAGAAGGCATGAAGCTGAAGAAACAGTCAGGAGTGGTCTCCTGAAAGCCAACCAAAAAATGTTTCAAGGAGAGTGATCAGTGATGCCATGGATGCCTATAGGCTGAGTAAGCTGAGAATTGATAAGTGATCATTGGATTTCCCAAAACAGGGCTCAGTGATGGCCTTGACAAAGAGCAGTTCAACTGGAGTGAGTAGTAGGGTCAAAATTCTAATTGGAGTGGATTCCAGAAAGAACAGAGAGAGGAGAGAAAGTGGACACAGGATATATAGCAACTCTTTTGAGGACTTTTGTGGGAAGAGAAGCAGGAAAATACTGCAGAAGCTATAAGGGAATATAAGGGTAGAAGGATAGAGTATAGGGGTGTTTTATTTTTACTTTGTCGTGTTTTCAATGGGAGTTATTATTGCATGTTGGTGGGTCCATGTAGAGAGTGAAAGATTTATGGTGCAGGAGAGAGGGGGAGGTAAGGAGAGATGTCCTTGGGCAGGGGAGAAGCACTGGGCTCCACCACCAGATGCAGGGTGGCCAGCGAGCAGGGTGCTCCCTGCAGGGTCACAGCAGTGACAGGCGGTGGAAGAGAGGTGAAGATCATGGAAGTCCGCTTCTTATTGCTCACTTGTATTCTGACACAGAAGCCAGATCATCAGCTGATAGTGCAGAGGGAGAAGAGGATGAAGATTTAAAGAGAGAAGAAAGTGTGGAATAAGCACCTAGCAGGAGGGGCAACTGGGGCAGGGACTTGTGATAGGATGCTGGCACCTCTGAGGACCTATTTCTGGTTAGGGTCATGACTTTAAAGAGACCAGACAGCAGGGATGTATTTTTTTTCTGAGCTCTAGTCAGCTGCAGAGGTGCAGGAACAGTGTGGACTGAGTTATAGTCAACAGAGGATGGGTTACACAGCAAGGAACAGCTACTCACTTTCCCTAAAAGTCCAGGGCTCCTCCCACTTGGCGACCAGTCCACAAGAACCTCTAGCCACTCCACGTGCCCCTCCATTTGCAGGAATAGTAGAAGGGCTGGGAGTGTAAGAGGCTTCATCTAGGGCTTCACTCTGCTTTGTTTCTGTTTGGTTTCACAGGCCAAGAGGCAGCTGCAACTCATTTGCTCTAAAATGAGCGTTAACTCCTGAAAACGTGGCAGAGCAACCTCCTTGAGATTGGAGAGGAGCTCTAGCCCCAGGTAGGCCAGCACAGTTTGTCTCTGGCTTGCCGGGAGGCTGGTGCCTCAGGGCCTGTTGATGCTCCACAACCTGAGGATGTCAGCTGGCTCATCAAACGTTTGTTCAACACCCACTATGACAAGCACTCTTCTAGGCACTGGGACTCCCTGACCCCCCATGAGACATTACGGAGCTTACAGTCTAGCAGGGGAGGCCTTAGGGATGGACCCACCTGAGAACTCAATTGTCCTGGTTTGTTCTTCTTATTGGATACACAGGCTGTGGGGTAGATCTCAGCTTCCCCTCCCCATACTTGGGGCTGGCCTGGAGCTGTCAACAGGCTGACCATGGTTCAGCCATCTCACCACAATTGATGTGGGCAAGTTGGGTTGTGCTGGTGGGTGCTTTCAGTGGAGGAAAAGCATCTAGGCCCTAAACAGAATCTGTGTGCCTTTTTGTCGGGAAGGGGCTTAAGGGATGCCTCTAGGTCATTTATTAATCTTAACAGGGTAACAGGCACAGGCGTGGTCCTTCCTTGGAGTTCAAACTGAAGCCAGACAGAGGGCTCAGCACAGACCCTGGGGAGGTTGGAGAGGGAGTAGTGAGATCTCCAACATAACTCCCTGTGCAAGCACCAGCCCACAGCTGAGCCTCCTTGCCCACTTTGCCTAATTGCCCCTAGTGATGGTTATTTGAGTATAATTAGCAGAAATCCTTATTCTAGCTCTTGTGAGGGCTTTATTTGAAATATATGCTACCCGAGTGTGGGGAGTGTTACTGGACCGTCCCAGCCACTCCCACCTCTGCTCAGGGTGGCTGGTCTCTCATCCCCACTTCTCTGAATCCGTTTCATCCAGTTTCATCTGTTTCTCTGTCTCCTGGCTACGCACACTTCCAAGTACAAGGCTCTCAACTGTGGTCAGAGAACCCAATGAGGTGTGAGTCACAACTCTGTACTTCTGGGACAGCAAATTGGATCAGCCAGCCTGGGCCAGATCCCATATCATTCAATCAGCTGTGCCGAGTGGACCCCGTCATGATACTTCCCAGGTGCCAGAACTTCCTCCCTGTGGGGGCTCAGCTCCTCTTAGCTGCATTTGTGTGGTTTGTGAGAGGAGTGAAGGGGCTGAAATCCAGCTCCCTCTGCCCTCATGCTGGGCTCCCCCATGAGCTGCACCCCTGGCAGAATCAGCTCTCATTTCTAACCCACAGAAGGAACCACCTGGGCTCTCAGGGGCAGTCCTCATGGGACAGTAGATCCCCCCAGAGGAATCTACTGCTCTCAGGTCTCGGCTTACCAGCACTTCTTTTAGGGAGCCGTTTATGGTGCTCTAAGCATCCCCGACACCTGGATGCACCTGACCTACACTTACCGAGCTTTATGAAAATGCTCACTTAATTGCAAGTCAGTCCCCAGACTGCAGGCCCCATGAAGTCAGGGAGTAAGCCATCTTGCTCACCACAGCATCTATTCCACCTAGCACAGGCCTGGCAGTGCAGCGGTAGTTGGCTGACTAATGAGGGCCATCAGCCGTGTGAAGCATGGTAGGCCACTGCCTCTTTTTTTTCTTTTATATGACAGCACTCTGAAGAGTCAACATGATTCTGAAGAATTAACCCAGAGGTTAATTCCTGGTGCACACAGAGTGGTGGAGTGTACTGGAGCCAGCACTGCACAGGCACTCAGGGAACCCACAAGACCCCAATCAAGAGGCTTCTCCCAGTCTGCCAGCTAAGAGCAAGAAGCTCAACAGTTAAGATCACTTCTAGCTCCAGCTGGTATCTGAGCTCTGCTGTGGGTCTCAGCAGAGGCAGGTCTGACCTACTCCAGCTCTTTGGACCCCAGGGGACAGGGGCAGAGGGAGCAAAATGTCTTCTGTAAACACTACCCCAGTCTAATCCTCACAACTCCAGGGGATACTAAGCTCCAAGGCTATAGCCGGGGAGCCTGAGAATCCAGGCAGGTGGGATGTCTCAAGTCACAGAGTGCTTCTGAGGGAAGATCAGGATTCAAGGGCTGGTTTGCTAATCCTCACACCCATGCTTGTCCCAGGAGACCATGCTGCTTCCTGCTGTGGCCTCCTCTCATCCTTCTGTCTCCCTCCAGTCCATCTGCAACTTAGCAACCACATCACGGCCACCCTATAAATAACTGGGAGGTTCTGAGCACAGGGGTACATGGTGACATCGGGGCCTATGGGCAAGGGGATCTGGGGGACAGAACAATCTGGACTGAGACATTTTCGGCTTTTGTGTTGCCCTCTCCTTTCCAGCATGGTTGACTATGGACCAGAGAGAATGTGGGAGGAAGTGTGAAGGGGCTGACCGACCTCTGTAAGGACAGAACCTGTCTGTCAGGCTTACTGCCCTCAATCCCTGTTCACAGTGTCCGGGACAGGGCTGGCTGGCCACAGTTGAGAGAATCAGTGTCTGGCTTCCAGGAGGGCCCCTGTGCAGGACAGAAAATGCGCAGGGTGCTGGGTCCTCAGCAATGCCTTCAGGGATGGGGCCTCTGCTGTCTTCTACTAAGCCTGGGAAATACAGAGCGCAGGTTTCCTTCTCCACAGCTGACAGACAAATGCTGGGCCCTTGCAGAAACCCATCCCTTCTGGAGTAGAGGACTAGCTTGCCTTTAGGAAGGGATTCTAGCAAAACTAAGGACATTTGGAGAAAAGGGAGTGCCTTTCCCCCACTAAGGGTCAGTTGACTGGGCGAGGCAAGTATGCCCCCAGAATTCTTACCTCAGATTAGTGTGATTACAGTGGCCTGTTTTCCTCTAACTATTGTAGTTAAGATTACATAATCCCTCTTTTTTGGGTTTGAGGAAGAAAAACCAAGTCTGGAAAACTCCAAATGGTAACACTAATTTCAAACCGTTGGTTGCTACATTTGAATACATGCCTTTATTAGGAAAATTATAAGTGCATATACATCTTTTCATTGATATGACTTCAAAGTAGAAATTGTTTCTCAAAAGGAGTTGTTACTTGTTAAAAAAAAAAAAAAGCACAATGCATACAGGAAGCTTCTCCTGGGCCACCTTCACATTATCTGGGAGATGCATTTTAAACAATACAAAATACAGTATTTATCACATTTAACACTGACCCATCACTGCTCAGGGACTGAGAGTCCAGCGAGGCTGCAGAATAACAAGTTTCCTGTGAGATTTTTTTCAACTTGGCCGTGTCAGTGGTCTGCTTAGGACTTGAAGTTTTCTAGGGAGCATTTCCCAAGGATGGGGTTCCCTTGGAATGGGTCAGGGAAAATGTGTAGAGGGATAAGGACCCCACAATTCTCATCCAGCTGCAAAAGGGCGCTCCACCTGAGAAGGGTGGTGAACTCCCAGCGAGGGAGCCCAGGGTGATAACACCAGGCAGCGGTCAGAAAGGAAGGTCAAATCGGATCAATGCAAAGGCTTTGAAGTTCTCTGGACTTCGCACGGGGGGATGGCAACCTTTCACTATTCAGGCCTCTGCTCAAAGCAGAACCTCCTTTCTCTGGAGGACAGACAGACAAGCAGAGGGCCCCTCCTGAGCCTTCTCGCTGGGGTCTCAGTACCTGGCCAGAGCTGGACAAAGAACAGTGCAAACAACACATGGCACAGATTCAGATTTCAACACACAGCACGTCTGTGAGCCCTGGTCCCCCAGGCTCCCCGGCCTGGTCCTGATGCAAAGGCTGGCAGTGGAGGACCGCCCTGGAGTTTACTAAGGGCCCAAGGAAGGTCAGGGAAAAGCAGCACTGGACCAGGAGGAACAGCTGGGTGACCCCTCAGCAACTGATGCCCTTGACTTGTATTTTGAAAGCAACAGGCTGATCTGGAGAGCCTTTTGTTTTGCAAATAGACTCTTTAAATGCATATTTGCTTTAGCTGGGAATCTCCTTTTAGGGCAGATTGCAAGTAGAGGAATTGTTACACAAATAATTTTCTCTGCAGTTTCTACTCTTATCGATTTTTCCCACCATAGAGGAGAAACAGAAATGATTCTTTCCTTAACTGTAGTCAAGATTTAAGGACATGTTTATTTTCTTGGAGTAAGAGATTTAATGGTTCTGGTTCATGGATTCCAGGGGAAGATGCTCCCAAATTTTCCATGAGATTTTTAAATATCTTGGATTACTTGGAAAATGACTATCCCACTGAAAGTTTCATCATTTCATGTATAATTTAGGAGCCCTGTAGTGGCAGGTTGATTTCAAGAGGGTTTTGAAACCAGTTGTGTATCCCTTATAACTAATAAAGGCCCCCATACTCTACTTTTTCAATGTAAACTAACTGGTTTGACGTGAATCCTTGTTCAGTTGATGGACTGACCTTCTACCATGAAGATCCAATTTAAAGGAATGTCTATGGAAATGCCTAACACATGCTACTGATAACTCAAAGATTATTAAATTTTAAACACCTATAATTCAAGACTGTTTTACTATAATACACTTTCTGCATGTTACTTACAGTGTCCTGTCAATTGATACATTTCCTTGTTTTGTCCTTTTTTTCCACTTTCTTAATTTTAAAAATTTTACTGAGATCTTTATCCAAAGGGAAAAGTATTTGTGAGACCACATGAAAAACACCAAAACAAGCATAAAGCCCTCAAATGCCTACCTTTTCAAAAAGTGAAATTTTTAAACTATGTAATTCAACTCTACAAACTGCCCTCAGTAAAAGGACACACTCTAAACAGCAGGGTTTTTAACTTACTTTCCCAAATATCCCATCATTTTCTAAGGGGAATGTCTTGCTGGAGGTCCCAGAAGCACAAGAAGACAGGGGCAGCAGAGAAGTTCCAGCAGCCACCGTGCAAGATAAGAGACAATGGGATTGCCCAATGGTGAAGAAGATGAGGTTAAATTTTAATTGGGAAGGAATCTTCATGTCCAAGACTGATCATTTTATGGACTGGGTTTTCAAAACCAAAAGAGTTGAGAATTCCTTTCTTATTTCCATAGCAATGCTGGGCTTGATACAATGAAGACAAAATTCTGTTTCTGAGCTATTAATAACTATAGAAGCAGGAGGGTTGGTGTCTTCAGAGGTCAACACTGCTATAAACCAAATTCCCTCGGGCTCTGTTGATCTGCCACAGCTTTGTGATCAGTGGGGAAACCAAGGCTGTCCACCCCAAAGGATGGTTGTCCTCATCAGAAACCTGGTCAGGGGCCCAGACGGGCTTCTCCTCACTCCCAGCCTTTGCATACGAGGAACTGACAGTGCATGCACTGAGGACATTGGCCTTGAACAAAAACACAGGATTGGACAACAGACAATATTCCAAACAAGACACAGATGTGCACAGTGTTTTCAGGACCCGGTAACAGGAGACAGTTTGGTTTGCTTCTTCGTGCCCAGTTTAAATTAAAGCTTTGGTCTTGAGAGAGTCCTTTTCCGGGGTCATGGAGACAGTCTTGGAGACACATGATGATGGATGAGAGAGAGAATGATGAGAAGAACATGATGGGATGTAGAGGAGAGCTCAGGATGAGGGGTGCATCTCACCCTACGCTGGCCTCACACTCCTGCTGCCTCAGCTCAGGGAAGCCCTGCGATCTCGCCAAAGAGGCGGACTCCAGTTCTCCCCTGGAGGAAGGGTGAGCCTCCCGCCTGGCCCACTAGAACCTAACTCTTCATCACCCCTTACGGCACAGGGCAGTCCTAGGGTGTGCCCATGCTGACTGGTCCTGACACTTCCTGGTGGTTCTCCATCCTAGGACATGATGATGTGGGCAAGGCTCCCTCAGTCTGGGGTCTCAGCCTGCACAGCTCAGAGAGCGACAAAACTCAGGAACCCCTAATCAGACCTGGGGCTCCATGGGAAAGATATTACAATAAAGCAAGTAAAATAATGGTCTTAGTCTAAGTTGCTATCTGTCACCAGTGACATTGGATAATCAAACTAAATGAAAAATAAACATCATATATTTTGCTACATAATCAAACGGTGAAAGTAAGGCAAACTGTGCAAAACAAAGCCCTTGGAAATGCATTCGGCCCTGCCCAGGCCTTGGGAAGCCTCTGCAGGCCCTTCCTAACACTGGTTTCAGACCTGGGCTCCTACTGTAAGGTTTCCTCAGGCGTCTGACCCAACCTGCGCCTCTCACATCTTGAACCTCCTGTTAACAAGAACAGAGGGAGACACCATTAAGGCGGGTTCCCACAGCAGCCAGGCCTTATGCCTGAGATGCTGAGCCCCGCTCCAGCAGGGCCCCCGACGCCTGACTTCCAAGTCGCCGCAGTGCGTCTCCCTTCCGAGGCCCTGGGCAGGGGGAGGGCAGTGAGAGAGAGAGCCATGGCTGAAGCAAGGGATCAACTGGAAAAGGGAAGCAGAGAAGACGGACGGGTGCAGCCAGCATGGGGCGTGGTGGATGGAGGAGGTCACTGAAACAGCATGGCACAGCGGTCACACGACAGGACAGGGCGCACTGCCTCAGCCAGCACAGACATTAGGACTGATGGCCTCCCTGCTCGGTCTGGAGCCAGGAGCAGTGTGCCGGCTCGTCCCGGGCCTTAGTGCTACTGAACTCTTCCACCTCCCACCCACACTCGCCTCAGGACCTCTCGGCCAGCGTGGGCAGGGGGGCCCAGGAGTCGGGCGCACCGGCTGCTGCACGCCGCACACTGTTCACCTGGTGCAGGCGCGCGCCTGCCTAGTTTCAACCCCCAAGAGAACGAAGGTCCGCCTCTTCGGCTCTTCCACGGCGACCCTCTCTTCGACGGGGCTGGGGCTATGCCCGCTTGTCAGATACAGTGAAGCCCTGGGGCCACTGGAGTCATACAAGGACAGGACTCAAGCTTGCCTGCGTGTCTTAATGTGGCGCCAACTCTCTTAGTCCCCGCAGCCCTGGCTTCCCCAGGAATGGAGGGGAAACCTTGTTGCCCTGAGCACTGCAAAAAGCAGGTTGTCACCTTAGAGAAGCAATAGCTTGCCTCACTGTTGCTAGATGGCAAACAGCTCTCCATGGTGCTCAGGCTGGACCTGCCACCCCTCTCTAGGCACAGAGATGCACTGTTCCTACAGTGTGAAGAACTGAGAGCATGGAGGCCTGGGTCTGACCTTCTTCGGGGGTTTTTTTTAAGGTTAAGCCAAGGTCCTACAGACCAGAACTGCTGCTGGCTCCCACAGGCAGGACGGCAGCCCTGGGCAGCCCAGCCATCATCCAGATGCCTTCAGAGGCTGGGAGGGCAGGAGGAGGTGGGCACCCCACACACCCAGGAGCAAGTCTGCTATTCCCAGTGCCGGCAAGAGGGGCTCAGCCTGGGAGAGGTGGCCAAATAGAAGAGATGGCAGTGGGAACAAAAGGCCTTTGGCAGCAAGACCCTAGGGGGACACTTCTCCAATGGCAAAAAGGAATGGCTACAATTCTGTATCCTGTAACCATGAAGGAGTGCATTAAAGCAGAAGGAAGACACGGGCTGTGTGACCCAGGTGAGGGTGACAGGCAGGGACCTAGGGTTTTCTTCTCCTGAAATCCATCTGCTCCATCCTCCAACCATTTCATCTTTCTGGACCCATGTACTGAAATTATGCCCAAGGGTCTGGGGTGCAGGGTGAGTGTGTGTTTATGTGTGACAGGGGATGGGGAGAAGAGTAGGTATTCAAGGCATCCTTTTTCAAAGCACTGAAAATCAGGGCCTTTCTCTCCAATGTGATCCCTCTCCTTCCCATCCAAATTAGAGAGACTTGGAAAGAAATCTCAGACATAAATCTGTGGGTGGGGGAGGAAAGTTCTAGAACTTAAACCATGTCCACTTTAAGCAGATATTTCCCATGAGTGAGGACGGAGGCAGCTGTGTTCCCGAACCTAATCACACAGGGTCATGGAGACTCTCCGGCAGAAGTGGGGAGGGGATAGGGCAGGAGTCCCGGGAGCTGCAGGCCCTGCACACAGTTCCTCCACATCCATCGGGGACCTGTTTAAAGAATCTACGAAATGAACTGCCTGGCGAGGAGGCTCCCTGAGAAGCATTTCCACAGCTGCTCTCTGAGAGTGCAGAGCTCCCACCTGCTCTCCCCACAGTCTGCAGAAGCCCACTTGTGCTTGGAGGTAAAGCCACTCACACAGCCCCAGGCCTGGGGGGTGCTGGAGAAGTCCCACCCCTGGCGGCAGAGTGGTGGAGGGCCAGGCGTCAGGCACTTGGGCAAAGGAGTCAGTTATCACCTGCAAGTGGCATGGCCACAGCCAGCTCTGCACCACCAAGGCCAAGGGGCGGGGAATAAGGGTATAAGGCACATGCCCCTTGCTGGCCAGGCTCCTGCTGCTGGGCTAGCAGACTGCCCTGTGTGCAGGCCAGGCGGCCACAGCCTGGTCTCAGACAGGAATGCAGACTGTAGGTGTGTGGAGCTGTGTGAGCTCCAGAGTGATCATGGGCATTCTAAGGGAGGGAGCGGAGGGCTGAGTGGGAGGCTCAACAGCCCAGAGAGATGCTGGAGACCCCTGGCCATTCTAGAGTCCTCGGCCACTCTAGATAGAGTCCTGAGCATGGAGTTTCCCCGTCACAGACCCAAACCCCAGTCTCTGCACAACTACTTTCTTCATAACTTAGTAGACCAGGAAAGGCCTTAAAAAGCATATAAATACAGGAGACAGTGTGGCCACAGGGGCAGCAGAGTGCTGCTCCCCCATAGAAGTCTGAGCGGCGCCCGGGAGGCAGGGGTCTGCCCTGGAGGAGGGGAAGAGCAAATTTACAAAGCGCCGGGAGAGACAGGAGCAGAGAGCACTGCGGTCCATCTCGAGGTGGCAGATAACTAGTTTTTCCTTTTCTGAGCAGCCTTTCTCTTCTTCTGTCGCTTCTTTTTTCCTATCTTTTCTTTTTTCCCCACTTTTTCTTCTCTGCGCCCCCTTAGATAAAATTAGTAGAATCATTAATACTGTTGAAACAAACAAGAGTCTGTCTCAGTCTGCACAATATGTAACACTGGCCCATGTATCCTTTTAACTTTGTCTTCAGTCTCAGGCCTGGAGGCCCCTGGGCAAAGCACTGCCATCAGTAAATTAAGATAAATTAGGCATTTTCCCCAATTCAAAAAAAAGCTAGACAGACTTTTGAAACATCTGCGAACTGGTTAGAGCAATTGCCAATTTGCCAACTTGACCCTGGTTCCCACTACTGCCTGATGCTTCCAATGGGGAAAGGAATTCACACCTAAAAGGGTGCGAAGGCACGCCAGGGCCCAGGGCCAGGCTGGACTTGGTCCTCCATCTCACCCCATCTGTTCTTCTTCCTTCTCAAGGCAGAGCTGCTCTGCTTTATGTAAAAAATCTCTGCACTTCAAATCGAATAATGCTTTGGAGGATGGAGGCCCAAGATTCAGATGGTCATCCAGAAGAGGAGAAAGAGGGTGGCCAGATGCCACCTTCTCCTTTCTAGATGCCTGTGGACACCCCCGGGAATGACTGGGATTGTTCTGGAGAGTGAGGGAGAGAGCTGGTTAGCAGAATTTTATTAGAGCAACTGGCTCATGACTGTCACATTAAAATGATTCAAGCTGAATGGTATTTAATGATTTATGGGGTGAGGCCACCTGTTCCTGAGAAAGCTCGATATTAACCATGGCTGGGAATTATGGGATTTTTACATGGGAAAATGTGAAAGCTGAATATTACAAGGGTTGAGTTTCTGGAGATTACATGGGCATGTTAGGAGAACTGAGGAGGAGGAGGAAGGGGAAGAGGAATTAGTGAGTCAAATATCATTCTTCAGAACACCAGCACCACCACTTCCATTGGGTTAAAAAAAAAAAGACGCAAAAACTTGAGCTGCAGATCTAATCTGCTCCTGAGGAAAACCGGGTGCAGTCACTTGCAGGTGAAGCTGTCACTCACAGCTGACCTCAACAGGAGGGTCTAAGGCACCTGACCAGCAGGCCAGCTTATCTTCATAAACTCCAGAAATACATCTGAGCTTCACGTCTAACAACTAATGGATTTTATTTCAGGTAAATAAATTCCCACATACAGTAGGAGGTTTATACCATGAAACAGTTAGCATTTTATTGCTAGTGCATATAATGTCACATTTGATACAATTTTAGTACAAGTGAAAAAATACGCTGTGGCTAACATCAAAAAGCTGCAATCACATATATATATATCATATGTATTTCTTTACAAATTGCCAGTAGTTTAAGATAATAGAGAAATGTAACCTACTGACATTTATATGGCTCCACTTCAAATATATGAGTTGTTTGACTATAAATATATTCTGAAATACATTTGTTTTCTAAAGAAACGTTTAAAAAAGTTGTGCATGAAAAAATATTTTAAAAATGCCTTGCAAAATGTTACAAATACCACCAGGCCCGTCTGTGGATCACATATATACATGGAAATTTCAACTTGCCAACATTTCTGATTGGAACCTGAAACCCTGTGTGGCTTCAGGAACTGGGGTGAGTGACAAGAGGCTCCTTTATTCATTTACTTTTTTACTTCTGATTTCAGAAACCTCAGAGTTTGTACAGCCTCCCTGGCATATACAGGCTTCAGAGGCAATCACAGAAACCAAATTCCTCAAAGCAAACTCTCAGATTGAAAATTGCATTTGATTCTGCAAAGACCTGTGTTTTGTGGGAAGGCAGAGACACGATCTCACATGGCCCAGGAGAGGGCCAGTCCCATTCTGGAGGAGGCCAGAGAAGGATCCCACAGAGGGCCGAGGAGGAGAGGAGGGCAAGGGGGGGAAGGGGGCTGTGGGGTGGGAGCCCCAGCAATCACCCTTCTCCCGCTGAGCACGTACAGAAATGAGAAGCGAAAGCGAGGTGAAAGCATGCTGTTGGAGGCAGGGGGAAGCCTGGGAAGGACCAGGAGAAGGTCTGAGCACAGTCCTCAGTGATGGGGGCTGGTAATGGAGCCCGCAGACCCAATCACTCAGCTTGAAAGAGGAGGTGAAGGTGGTGGCCACTGCCTGGCACTGGTCAGTATCTGAGAGTCACACAGGGCTGTCATTCTAGGAGGTGCCCCCTGTGGGAGCTCCCCACAGTGTTCCTCCAAACCTCAGCATCTGGAGGAAGGACACTTTTTTGAGCTCTCAACTTGGCCATCACCTGACTGTGCCCAGATCCCCCAGGGAAGAATAGGAGAAGCTTCAAAATAAACCAAATACAGATCTTGAAGTAATCACTGATTTAGAAAAGGATAACGAGAATGATGATGATGGTGATGATCATGAGAGAACCGACAGGTGGGAAATGCTGCTGGGATAATACAATTTCTTAGAAAAACCCCAGTTATAAAACAGCCAATATGCAAGGGTACGGGGCACGGATGAATACAAGCTGCGATATCGTACCATGTGCTATAAATGCCATTGTCTACATGCTGGGCAAACCTCAAGCCCATTCCCAGGTCCATGCACTCCCCCGCATTCAGACCTTCCTCCCCCACGCCTTCGCCCTTTCATCTCTCATACGGTTTTAGCTTTCCTCAAGTGGATCTAGTGGAAAGTCCTTTTTGGCTGTTGTGCTTACTTGTTTAAAGCTTTCTCCAGGTATTCCTGAATCCACTTCAGTTTCGGGTCAATGCACACTTGTCTATTGTTGTGCTTCAGCCTTGCCCTGCCAAAACAGAAAGGGTGACAGTGTGCAGCTGAGCGGAAGGAGGCACTGCTGTGATGTGGGCATTTGCTCATCTGGCCCCCACGTCAGGACCCTTACCTGGCCCAGGTGCCCGCCTTAGCAGGCTCAGGTTCCAGAGGGATTCAAGGGGCACTGGGGACACACAAAGCTAGCAGTGTGGCAAGTTCCACTGCAGAGATACAGGGAAGTGGAAAGAGTCTTCTGGGTGGGGGGGGGTTCCAGGGAGACTTCACAGGGGGAACATCTGAGCTGGCCTTTGAAGGATAAGAGCTGGGCAAGTAAACCAAAGGGTGAGGGAAGGCAAGAGCAAGTACAGCAAAGGGAGCACAGGAGCCAGGACGCCCAGGGAGCAGGTGCAAGGGGCACAGGAGTGGGACTTGATCTGCAAGGTTATGGAAACTTGGGAGGATTTTAAACTGGAGAGTGACAGAAGCAGATTTTATTTTGGTGGGTAACCTTGATAGTACATGGAAAACAGACTTAAGAGTAAGCCTGCAGGCAGGAGACCTGAAAAGAGGTACTGCAGTGGTCTGGGCCGGGGGTGGGGGGGCAGTGAGGGGGCAAGGAGAGGAGCATTTGCGGTGTGGGGGTGGGATGGGACAGGGATAGTGTATGTAGTTTGCCAGAAAAATGGTTTCTAGAGAGATTTTACAAGTTCACTGACTGCTCCATGATTTCATTTGTTTTTGAAAAGTTCATAACCCACCTTCCTCCGACTTCTCTGTTCTACTCACAGCCTCCCTACCTAAAAACTCCTGGGGAGGAGCTGGACTCACCTCTCTGGGTCCCCTCCATAAAGCCCTGGGTACCAGGTACTCTCAAGCACCCTGAGGACTCCCCTGCCCACCACTCATGGGTCTATGAGGACAGGTACGGCCATTATGGTGGCTCGGGGACATCCATGGGAGTCTTCACACAGCCTATTAAGTGACAGAGGTGTGCAGAGGAAAGGTACAGCTCGAAGCAAGGCAGTTGGAGGTCCAAATCCGGGTACCGCCGTATATTAATTTTGTACTGGCTCAGACTTGAGAATTATATTTGGCTTCTTCAGCTTCGAGGTGCATTCCCAGGCAACTGAACCAGCACAATCTGTCCTGGAAAACAGGCTCATGCTAGCTAAATTCAGTATCTGATAAAATACCTCTCAAAGGAGAGAGAGTATTTTATTATAAGCAAAGTAAGTGAAAAAACATTCATCTTCTAGTGGCCAAAAACAGACTGTAAACGACAAACACATTCAAGGCAGACAGGCAAGAAAAAAAGACAAAGAAAATCAAACCTAAAAACAGTTGGCCTTGGGTGGAAAGGCCTTCAGGGAGTTGCAGCTTTCATTCCGACTTCTGTGTTCCCACCCCACTTTTAGCACTGGAACCCACAGGAGGTGAGCTTCCCCTAGGAGCACCTGAGCCTCACCTCCCGGCGTCCAGACACAGGACCACGCTCGCTGTGTGCAAGTGTGGGCACAGGAGACCTGGAGGCCAGCAACAGACAGCAGGCTCTCCTCATGCACCCACACCGGGCGAGAGATCTGTGTGTCTTGTGTAGGTGTGATGTTGGTTGGTCTCTTTACCCATGTGAATGAAATCAAATGTTATCAGTTGCCATCAACACCGGCAAAAACAGAAACTCATGTGTCATGTTTGAGAAAATGCTTAAATGAGATGATAATTTTGAGTTTCACCAAATGGTTAAAAATGACTGAATTTGGGTCTTGTGAGTTTGTGCTGTGATAAAGGATTAATTGAGAGCACTAAAGTCTTGAAACTGGCAGCACAGACAAAACCATCACTAACCAAGGGCTGGCAAATTTACTGGACTTCCACAGAAACTTTGGTGAAGCCCACGTTTCTCCAGTCTGGAGGCTGTGCTGCCATCAGCTGCCTGAAGGGAGGAAGCATGGAAAGAAAAGATGAGGACCACGATGAGCCAGCACGGCACCAAGGGTAAGAGTGGTTTTTGAAAGTCCTGCCTGGTGGTGAACTCAAAGTCCTTGTAGTGATAATAACAGCTGCCTCTAATGATGCCAAGTTCAAGGCTGGACTCCGCGCATGTGTCATTTCTCTAGCTTTAACAAGCCTGTGAGTTAGGTGTTACTATGCCCATTAGATGTGACATCCCTGGACGATGATGTTCAGACTTACACGATCTGAAGGGCACAGTTCGGAGTGTTGAGGATTTTAAGATGTTTGATGTTGGCTCTGGCAACGTGGCTCTCGAAGAACCGGCAAGGACATCTGTAGCTCAGGCTGACTGGTTTCCCTAGAAGAGTAATGATAACAAGGATCTTGTCATTACCCTGCCAGGCCTTGGGGATACACGTGTGTCTGCTTCTGCAGCTGAGGCTTAAGATGGTGGAATGATGGTAGGATTAAGAGTGATGGGACAAGTCAGGGGTGCATCCTGGCAAAGACCATCTCCTCGGGCAGCACAGTGAGCTCTGGATGGGCTCAGGAGTAGCTTCTACAGGGCCAGAGGGCAAAAGGCCCTTCTTGGAGAGAGCTACACTCTAGGTGGGCAGGGAAATTAAAATAAGAAGCTGAGGCGTCTCAAGATAAAGGTAGCAATTACAGGAGATAATTTCAGTCTAAGTACTGAGGCTCCCAGTTTTTCTGTCCAAAATAAATTTCTCTAGGACCAACTTAGAAAGACCTCCCTACTCAGGGAAGGGGAGCAGAAAGGAGCCTCCAGGCTCTCTTGCCTCCTTCATCTCCCCTGGGAATGCTACGGCCCGGCCCACCCCTGTCTCCTCTCCTCACATTCACCTTAAGTCCAGGCAACCAAAAAAGACTCCCAGCTTGCTTCCTACCTGGAGTCCCCAGAGGGCAGGACAGGGTCCCACCTTCTCCCCAGCACTGCTCTGAAGGCATGGAGATTCTTGGGGCTGGAGTCAATTGTGGCTTTCATTGCAGGGCAGGGATGCTATAGCCTCCTGGGTTATATTACATCTTTGTTTGCCAATTCACCAATTTGCAAAATGCCATAATTGACACTCATTAGTGTAAATTAGCAAAGGGCTCCTGCAGAACCCACTGCTCACCCTTTAAGTCTAGAATTGCAAGCCCCGAGGGGCTGGGATTTGTGGGCTGGTTTTTTTCCTGCAGATTTTATCCAAGCCCTACTTAATACCGCAAATTATCTGAATTTGTGGATCCTTTCATCAGGGATTAAACGTATGTCTGAGAATATTTAGTGCAGAGATTTAAAAAAAAGTTTGCCTGTTTACAGAGCTCCCAGAGGCCTCCTCGTGGTTCTGTTCTACACTTTGGGGCATGAAACCTCGTGAGGAAGGGACTAGCTAATTTTTTTTCTAAAGGCTGCATCAGTTGAGAGATGGCATGGCCTGGGTACAGCAGCCTATTTAGCTGCTGACTTGGGGTGGCATGGGGGCGGGAAGCAGACCACACTGCCCCCAGGACCAAACTCGACTCCCTGAAAACCAGGAAGGAGAAAGCCCGGCTTCAGGATGCTCAGTGACTCATGACACTGGAGAGTCCCGGGGGCAGCATTCAGGTTTTCATCTCATCTGACTCCAGAAGTTGCTGTTGGGGCCTGGCTTTTAGCAAGTGCAAGGAGTCCCTGCAAGGGAAGTCTGTACTGCCCTGTAACCAGATCACCTGGGAAAGCAACCCCAGAGCTGGGGGCTGGGAGGCCCGGGGAAAGGAGGAGCCACAGTCTCCCCTCGGAGAGGCCTGCCTCCAGGTTTCCCTGGAATTCTCATGGGTCCTTCTGAGCTGAGTGGGACTAGAGAACTGGGGCCTTGGTGGTGGGACAGGACAGGGTCCCCACCCCAGAGCAACAAAGAGCTGGAAGGTGCACAGTGCGAGAGGAGCAGGGGCAGCACAGGGCTGGGGGAGGGGGCTGCTACTCTCATGTCTGAGAAGCTGCTGTGACTCCACGAAGCAAGCAGTGGAGATCAGGCCAGAAATCAGAGCAGATTCTGAGCTCAAAACACAGGCTTTCTCTTTTTCTCCTCTGTCCCCTCTGTCCCCCTGGGATTATTCATTTCCTTCAAAGGTAATTCTTATTCCTGCTCCCAGGACCCAGCTGCCTGCCTGTCAAATGGGGAATTTCAACAGGTTTTTAAAGTGACAGGGCCTCCTCAAGTGCTCTTACCAAGACACTCGGTGCTCTGTCTACCCACTGTGCTTTGTGTCAATATTACCAACTTTTCCAACTGTTCTGGATGTGACTGAGTACAGGCAAGAAGGCTGACTGGCCCAGATGTTCCCTGGGGTTGGGACCTAGTGAACTTGGCCCTGCTCCTGAGCAGTTCTCAGAGAAGCTTGCACTCTACAGCAGAGAAGCCCTGGCCAGCCCCTCCAACCAGGCCTGGGAATGAGGCCCACCTTGGGTTTAACCCCTGGAAGCCCAGGGCACCCAGGGGCCCAGCTGCTTGGCTGAGGTCAGCCAGTGGAGGGAGGGCAGGGGCCCGAACAAGTCTCCTGCGTGCAGCTTTGAGACTCAGTATGCAGCCAGAGGGCACACAGGCTCCAGGTGGTCAAAAAGTACCTTCTGGTCTATGCATGCAAGGAGAACCAGACCTGCCTGGAGCCCAGGACTCTAACCTGGCCACTGAGCTGCCAAGAGGCAACTCAGAGGGCAACAACCGACCCTTCCCAGGGTCAGGAGGAGTCTGTAGATGAGGCCCCCACTTCCTCTGTCCTCCCTGCAGTTCAGCTGTGCTCAGCACTCAAGGACTTGAGTCCCTGCATTCCAGTCTTTTCTGCAACTCCCTAGGGGAGGGGGCAGCACCATTTCCTCAGAGAGATGCACACACCTCCACTCTCACCATACCACTCAATTGTTAATGTCCAAACCAGAAGGTTCCCCATGACCTGGGGGTCAATGTGGAGACACAGCCTAAGATACTTTTCCAGCTAGGCGAAAAATTCTAAGTTGCCTTCCATCCCTGTCCCTCTGCAGTTCTGATCAGCAAAACTTGCTGCACTTTTAAAGAACACTTCCCAGGCCCTCAGCTGCCAATCCCTGTTAGCCCAGGCCCTCCAGCCTGGCCCAGCAGCAGGCATGCTCATTTTACCCACACTGGCTTCCAGGACCACCGCCGCCAAGGATGCCGCGGTGCAATGCCAGGTCCGCGGCCGAACCCAGCCTAGCGCTCCAGGCGCTCCGGTGCTGCGCAGACCGCAGCAGCACCAAAGCGCTCAGAGCGTGCTTCAGCCCTTTGCAGGGTTCCTTCGAAACTTCGCATGCAGCCAAGAAAGGGCAGCGCGGCCTAACATGGTTTTGTTTTCCGTGTTCGGAGACAACAGTTTATTTTGGCTTGCAGCAACAGTGTCCTGTGACAAAACAGCGAGATTTCTCTTAAGCTTCAAAAGAAAAAAAAAAAGCTCTCTCCCTCTCCCAGTGAAACGGGACACCACCTTTCTCAGTGGCCTAAGGCCTTGGCGATTGAACTTTGCTGCAGCGCTCATTCCAAGGTAGTGCCCTCGCTTGGCCAGAGACAAAGGTGCCTGTCTGCAGGTGTGTTGTGGGGGCTGTGGAGGGGCAAGAGCGACCTGGACGGCCCCTGGGCCTCCCTTTGGTGACCCCGGGAACAGGCAGGGAGGCAGTGGCTGGACACGCGCCCAGTTTCCCCGCGTCGTTGCGGACCGTGGAGATGTGCAGACGCATGGCCAGGCGAGCCGCGCAAACCCAACAGCTGCGCGGTATGATTCGCCCGCGGAGACGCGCCAGGGTCAGTGCAGAGAGGGCTGGCCTCTGGTGAAGGGGATGCCACGGAGCGGCACCCAATTGCACCGCCACGACAAGCACGCCGCGAAGCTTTGCAAAAGCTTTGCAAAGCGCTCTCTCCCACACGAACTGCCGATCGCACCTCCAGCACCAGCGCAGCGGGTCTTCGGAGCCCACTCGCTTCTGGCAACCGAGCCTAGCGCGCGACGGTACTAGCTGCGGGCTGGGCGGCAAGGGCCTGGGGCCCGCGGCTCCTGACTTGGCGCCACACCCCGCGCCCTCCCCGAACGCGCCCTCCGCGCGCTCCCACCCAGTTATCCTGCCCGACCTCGCTCTGCAGCCCGCTCGAGGTCTGGCGGCCCCCCGCCGTCCTGGAACCCGAGCCCGGCTGCGTACTGCGAAGCCTCAGCGCGGACGGTGCAACGCACCGGGCTTTGGCCACTGCACCACGCGGAAGGGCGCCCTGCGAAGTGGACTGCCTCAACCTCTCCTGGGCACAGTGGCGCGAACTGGGTTCGTTGAGGGCGGTCCTGGCGAGGGCAGGGGAGCCGCGGCCCCGCACTGGGCGCTGAGTTCTGCGCCCTGCCTACGCCTCCGCCGCCCAGTGCACTCACCGTCGCTGAGGCAGAGCGCAGCCAGCACGAGGGCCAGCACGGCGACGACCTTGGCATCCATGGCACGGGCAGGCTGCGGGCTGACGGAGGCCGGACGCGGAGAGGACACGGCGGCGGAGAGTGAAAGTGCGGCGGCGGGAGGCGCGCGCCTAGCACTTTAGAGGCGAGAGCGGGGCGGGGCGGGGCGGGGCGGGGCGCGCGGCGAGGGGCGGGCCTGGAGCCGAATCCCTGCGGAGGCAGGGGGCTCGCACGCGCTTCTCCCCCCGCACGGCAGCTTCTCCCGTCCCCTCCTTCCCACCCCTCCTGCGCCCCCGGAGTGCTCTGGGATCTGCCGTGCTCTCCGGCTTTTGACCTCAGGTTCCCCTGGGCCCCTCTCTGTAGGCCTGACCTGCAGCGAGGAACCCAGAGGAAGGTTGGTTATTGATCTGGTCATTGTTCCCATCATGCAGATGGAGAGATTGAGTCCCGCAGGAGCTGAGTGAGAACCAAGGAAACACAAACAAGTCGGTCCTAGGGGTGAGGGCCAGCTGGGCCGGCGGCGTCCCGAGGTAACTAAGAGAGTCCTGTTTTCGGAGTGCAGGACGTCGAGGTGACACCGACCCGGGCTCACCGCGCAGTGGCCTGGAAAGCTTGGCGGTAGGGAAGGAGTCCGGTCTCTACCGTCAGAGGGACTCCTATTCCCAGCCAACACTATCAGTTACTAGCGAGCCTCAGTTTCCTCACTGTAGAGTTGGGCCCCTAAAATAGGATGCTGTGCCTCCAAAGGAAACAAAAGCACTTCGCCCTGGAGGCTCTTAGTAAGCGTGAATTTACTTGGCCCTTTGTACCTCTCTTCTCTCGACTGTGCGGTTCCACCGAATGGGCCTGGAGGACGGACCGACTTGCCTCCCCAGTGCCGGACGGTGCTCAGCATAGAGTCCGACACATAGTATCCAATAAAGGGAAGCTGGAAATAACTGTTTAAACGTCACCATTTTCTCCCTCTCCCCAGTGAATGCCCTGGACGACCCAAAGTGCTGAGTGAACTCCTCTTCTTCCCGCCTCCCACCCCGAGGGTGCTCCTGGCGACTGTCTTTCTGGTGCAGAGAACACCGTGGGTAGTCCCTCAGCGGTGTCCAGCCCTTCTGGCAGGCCGCCGCCGCGGCGCCCTAACCCAGATACTCTGAGAAAGAGCAGCCGAGCAGGGAGGAGTGCAGGCAGGCGTCCCAGGAGGCGCGGAGGTGAGAAGAGCGCCCTGTTGGGTCTCGCTAGTGACCACGGGACGCTCCAGCCACCTCCCCATGTTCTTACTGGCATAGCCGGACAATGGAGTGAATTCTATCCACGCGTCCACCCGAGGGACGCGCGGTGGGGAACAGGTATTTGTCTCTGGGGAGCCCCGGAGTCCTGGCCATCTGAGGAGTGGGCGGGCCCCGCTGGCCTGGGCTCAGCAGCTCCAGCTGAGGGCCACGCGAGGGGGTGGTCTGCAGGAAGCTGTGAGAGCTCCGGGACAAGGGCCATGTGTGTCTTGTTTTCCGAAACTACTTTCGCGCCCAATTAGGTGCGCTCTGAACCTGCACTCACTTATTCATTCATTCATTCACATCTGGCCGAGCCTACTTCGGGGCACTGGGCCTAGGGCCGGGAACCTTACTTACTTGATCCCTGCACTTAACTAACAATCCAGTGGGGAAGACAATCCTCGGGCATCCTCACGCCTCCACCTGGTCTCCGGAGCGTGGACTAGTTATCTCCAAGCCAGCGAACCCTGGCAGGCGGCGGACAAGACAAAGCACGGCGGCTGGGCTCGGGCGCCCTCTGGTGGCGAAGTCCCCCCTCCCCCGACTCCCGGTCCCCCTCCCCTGGGCTCCTGGTGCGGCACGGCTGAGTCCAGGCCCTGATGGCTGAGCAGCAGGGTACAGCTGCAGGGCTCCGCCATAGATCCCGCAGCCAGCCCGGCGGCGCGCCATGGAGCCCAGAGCGCAGCGGGAGCCGCGTGGAGCCTCGCCCGCAAGTCTGGCCAAAGCAAACGCCAAAACCTCTAGCTTGCTTCCTCTTTGCCACAAAATCTGATGCTGACCCAGCAGCCCAGGAGAGCCACTGGGAGGGACCCACGTGGACAGGGCGGAGAGGAATCAGGACCTCCTGCTTGGCCGCGCCCCGCGACCCCTGGATAGACATTAGCGTGGGACCGGTCAGTGCTGATCACTTCTTTCATTCAGTCGTTAAAATACTTACTGATCAACTATTATGTGCTAGACACGGGCTAGGTGTTTGAAATATTTAAGTAAAGGGACCAAAAAACCTCCCCAAACCCCTGTCCTCCTGGAGTTCACATCCTAGGGGTCCGGGAGACAGGAAAAGAGTACTAAAGGACAGCTATTAAGCACATAGTCTATAGAAGATCATTAAGTGCTACAGGAAAATGGAGCAGAGGGAAGGGGAGGAAGTTAGGACTTTAAATAAGGAAGCCAGAGGTCTGTGTTTTCAGTAAAATTTCCACAATTTTTCAGTGGGCAAGCTATTTAAATTTAGAACTCTGTTCTGGCCAACGCTCTGGGGGTCCAGGGACCCTCAGACTGTGCCTCTTTAACCTGGGCTCTCCCTCAGCCACAGGGCCACCTCCCAAGTTCAGGGCAGGAGAGCCCATCACCCTTTCTTCTCTGTCCTTTGCTTATGTCGCTATCTCTGTTTAAAAGGCTCCACCTTTCTTTCTGTGCCGGGAACTCCATTCCCCATCACGCCCAAAGCAATGCCACCTTCCCTTTGTGATCTTCCAGATCTCTCCCACGCTCAGCTCAGAGCTGCTGCTCCTCAGGGACACCTTAATCATGCAGAGTTCAAAGTGTGGGGGGTGGGTCAGGAGTCTGGCTGTTGAGTTAAGGGGCAGGTGCACCTCCACCTCCTGAGTGTGTGTAATGGTCTCTAGACCGTGGTGCCCAGTCTAGGTGTCTGCCGGCGGCCCTCCTCCCGGCCTGGGCTGTTCACTCCTTCAGAGTTCAGTGGCTTGGCTTGAGGGGAGGACCTTCTACAAGTTTGAAGCTTTGCACCAAATCATTGTTTACCAGTGTGTAACTGACAAGATGAATTCGGGTGGTACTCTGAAAACATTATTTTTAAAAATATTTATTTTTAAAAATAATAAAGAAAAAATACAACTAGCGCATTGAAGCATTCATATATTTCTCAAGACTGATTTCATTTTTTAAGTATATGATTTAAGTTTTAAAAATTAAGTAGATTTAGACTAACATAGCATGCAATAGTCTAGGTGATTGGGGGTATAGCAAAAATTCAGATAGTGATAGAAAAAGATACAGAAAGAAAAGGCTGCCTAAATAATGACCGTCTTTTGTATTATTTCACACTCTCTCTTAATTTCTAAACAAACCATTTGTCCCCAAAGTAGTAAAACAAAATCATACAAGGAGATATGGCATCTTCCTCACCCTTGTCATCCAGGTGAGGCCACAGAATGCTCAGCCAGGAGTGCTCAGGCCCTGGGCAGACTGTGAGACATGTGAGGTCCCACCCCTCTGTCCCTCCGATCGCAAGTCCTTCCCCTCCCATCTTCTGGGGTGTGCCTAGAGGGGCACGCCAGGAAACAGCTGCATTGCTGCCCCCCTCCCACCCACCTCTGTTCTCCCACCTCTGACACCTCCTATTGGGTTCACGAGCTGGTGTCCCACCCTGGGAGCCAGGAGGCCCCTTGAGAAAGACAAATCCTTTAGGGTCTCAAGGCTGTCATCTGTGGAATGGGTACACTAGCTCTCAGGGGTGGTGTTGGGATTTACTAACTGTGAAACCACTTGGCATGGAGAAGGCCCTTGGGAAGATATTCACATAGGACTTCAACTTGCTTTCTCTGAATTTGTCACATTTGTTTCTTACGAAGACCCAACTCGCTGAATAAGCCCTAATGTCTCAGCTTTGAAGACAAGGAACCCAAAGCTCAGAGTGGTTGAAGATCTCAGCCAACATGGCAGAGCCAGCCAGGGACAAAGGCACAGCTCTCTGGGACCAGCGTCTTTGAATTCTGGAAAATCGTCAAGGCTCACTATCTGTACAGCTGGCCATGTTTTCCTCAACTGGATCCCAAATTGACCTCAGGAGCTAGTTCCAAAGAGCCGCAAGCCATCCAGGAGGGAAGAACCCTGGGGAGGCCAAGCCAGGGCTCCCGGATGCAGGGCTGTGCTGGGGTCTGGCTGGCATTGGGGCACCCACACAGGCAGGGGTCACCCTGGGTGAATATGCACATCCAGCAAGCCAGATCATCTGTTTAAGCTGGCTGTTCCCAAAACCTCTCCCTTGATTGACACTCCTAAAGCAGGAGTGGTATTTTCTGGAGCATTTTCCAGGAGCATCAGACTAACAGGCTGATGTTCAAGGGCAAATCAGACCTAAAGGTCCTGATAGTGCAGGTCTGTGTCCCAGCCCCTACACTAGCTCCCACATACCAACTCAACTCTGCCTGCACCTCATCACCAAAATCAGTGGAGTCAGGTCCAGATTTGCTCTGCCTTCCTAACCCCGCCCCTCTGTCCTGTTACCCCTGCCTCTGAGTAGATTGGTCTCAGCACCTGAAGCTCTGGTGAAGGATCTTGGAGTATGCACCAGCCCCCACTATGAACCCCTGGGTGACGGGCACTGTGAACCGTGGGAGGATAAATAACATTTGTGCAGGAGTCACTCAGTGTGATTCACTTTTTGCCTCTTTTATCCTCACATCTACCCTATGAGGTGAATTCAATGTTAACCCATTCCCAACATTTGGAACGTAAGAGCACAAAGTTATTCGAGAGAGCTGAGATTTAAGTCAGCTCAGCCTGGCTCTGAGCAGGGCTGTTCCTGGTGAAGAAGAGAAGAGTAGGTTTCCTGTAGAAAACTAGGACACCCAGTTAAATTTGAATTTCAGATAAACGAGTCATATTTTTAGTATAAATATGTCCGAAATATTCCATTTTACTAAAAAGAATTGTTCTTTGTTCATCTGAAATTCAAGTTTAATTAGGTGTCTTGGATTTGCTGAGTCTGATAACCTTCCTCCAAAGTGTCTGCTCTTCGCAGCACAATAGAACCCCTATTTGTGGGCTTTCTGCCTGGGCCTTCAGGACACGTGAGCAGAGGATGGGAAGGGTGCTGAGAAGGCAAGGTCTGGAATCACCCACTATCTCAATG